TACGTACGGAACAGGTCCTCGACGTCTTTGGTGCGGACATCGGGCGGAAGGTTCGCGACATAAACGCGACACTCGTGGCGATGGGACGAAGACATGACCGCCGATGACTGAGCAGATTGTTTGCACTCAAAGTACAAAACACTTGCTGTCTATCGTATGACTTGTACTCACGTTATGTGTGTTTTGTGTTGTGTTTTACAGACCCACTCAATGCTAGCGTATGTCTCGTGTGGACACCAAACGCCACCTAACGTTAAATCATATGTTTTTCGCATTCATTTCAATAGCAATTGGGTGACAGTATTGCTGCCAATGGCGCTGCAGTTGCCTCTAATGTAAGCGTTTTTATTATTTTCAGTTCATTTAACGCTGACGTTGTGTTCAAAGGTTAGGAAACATTCACACATAACGTACACTGAATGCTAAATTAGCACTAAATTACAACTAAAATACTGAATTTAGCACCGGTAGGCAACGGGGGATTCCGAATGTACTAATTTTTATTGCTGATTATGAAACTTCTACCTAGTTACTAGTAAAAAATAGACACATTTTATACGCCCGATTTTATATACAGTACTGTATTTAAAATCAAGTTAATTTCATTGAACCTGACCACTAAATTTTACTAAAATTTAGCTATATATAAAATTTACTTGTTAGAATAGTCTATATTTAAGAATTGTCTAAAAAAATTTAACTTTTATAAAATGTTTAATCAAAATGACTGTTAAATGCAGTTTTAAAGAATTAAATCCAACCATTCGTATTGTAATGTATTTCGATATAGTAAGTTACCCAGGGTTATTTACTGCCTGTACTTATCATTATACAGTACCGGTAGTTAGTTCAAGTTATAAAAGTACTTACGGTAGTATTAATTAATTTACAAAATCAATTATATTTACACAAACTGTTTATTGTCTTAATATGTTAATAGTTAAATACATTTAATTTTGATTTAAATAAGTCTTACCGTATTTAATAAGATTACTTGCATAGTGTATTACCGGTATATTTAAGCTTAACATAGAGAGTAATAGTATGCCGGCACTTTTAGTAACATTATATAATATTACAATAAAATTATAAATTATTGTCCAAATGTCGATATATTATGCGTGTTTAACATTATGAACAAAACGATTAATATAATATAAATTATGTGAATATTAATCAACAATTACAGAAATATACGAGTAATTGAAATAACATTTGGTTGCATTTAAATAAAGCTATTAATTTACCATAATAACAAGTGTTTTGTACCATAACTTATGTATAATTATTATATAATCAATACAATTACTAAAAATTATTTTTTATGTCATATTAGTATCGGATAAACAAAATCCGATTTCAACTCAATACTACTCTTATGTCAAAAAACAAATCAAAATACAAATACAGTAAATATGAAAAAGGTTTTTACAATGAAATCACAGTTAAAACAAAAACAAATATATATTAAATTAATCGTACGGTAAATACAAATGAAAAAATGCACATAACATGCGAAACGCCAGTACCTCCCGTGCCCTTCAGGTGCGCTCGCCTCTGATACGACGGGACAGTTGTATATCCCTCGGCATAATCGTAACCCTCTTGGCGTGAATGGCGCAGAGGTTGGTGTCCTCGAACAGGCCCACCAGTAGGTCAGTGGTCTTCTGGTAGCGCCTGATCTCCCGGAGCGCTATAGTGCCGGGTCTGTGGCGATAGGGCCGGCGTTTGGGCAACTGGTGGACACCACCGGTGCTCTTGCGGCCCATACCGTTCCCGTTGCCCTTCTTGGCCTCCAGTATGCGCCGCATATCCAGCCGG